TGGAGATTTGTCTTGAGGCGATATGTGGTCCAGATTAAGTACTGCAAAAATTGGGTCCAGGTTTCTTCACGGCTCCCTCAGGGCTTTCTGGCATAGTTTGCAATTTGGCATCAAAGTCCAAGAACAAACTATAGATCTATAAAACTATCAGAAACAACCCCTAAAACAAAATATATTCACATCTTTTCAGAGGTGCATATAAATGTCGCAGTAAATGATAACTTGCTCTGAATCTGGACATGTGTGTTTCAGTTAGTCTATTTAGACTTCAATGCTTCCAAAAGTCACAAAATGTAAGGCTAGAGAGGAAAAGATTTGTCAGACTGAACCAAGTGTCACTTACTCAGAGGGAGGTCGGATTGACTTCTCTTTCTCCTGTCTAAATATTTCTTCCCTCACGCTCTCTAACTCTCTCTCTCCCCCTCCTCTCCGCTCTGTTTTTCTCTTCCCATTTGGCCACCGATCTGTTTTCAAAGAGTGAGGTCAGAGTGAGTTAGAGCAGAAGGGCCTGCGTCTGTTTCCTAGCTAGACACATTCAGATTGAAGCCTTTAACACTGAGAAACAACCTTTTATGGACTTATTCACCAGCAGGACTTCTGGTAAGCAGCAGTGGACATTTCAACGCTTCAATGTTTTAACTACTTTTTGCTTTTCCAGACGCTTTACAGAATTGCATGGGATGTTTTGACTCAACATTCTCGACTTCTACATCTTTTCTGCAGATTCCTTCCCTAATTGTTTTGTGGCTCTAAATGTCTTAATAACTGTAACATTGGCAGTGACTAAATAGTTTAACAGTTCTTTCCTTAACTTCTTCAGGGTTTTTTTACAAATACAATTTGCACATACACATCTTTGTCCTTTGGTTGTCACTTGTTTATACTCTCCCCCTAAGCTGCCCTAATGGTTTCATGTTAGCATAAAAAGATCATTTATTTTCTCTTTATCTTAAGATCTGACATCTTTATATATGTTCATTTGCAGTGAGGAGGTGGCCAGACATGGCTTCACAGTCATTGTGGACATGCGTGGTTCTAAGTGGGACAGCATCAAGCCTCTGCTGAAGATCCTCCAGGAGTCTTTCCCCTCTTGTATCCACGTCGCACTCATCATCAAGCCGGACAACTTCTGGCAGAAGCAGAGGACCAACTTCGGCAGCTCAAAGTTTGAATTTGAGGTTGGTGACACGACCTTATTTCTAAGACACAAAACAAATTATTTCATCATGTCTGGTTTTGTTGTTGTGAATGTTGTACAATAACCATTAGTCTCTTTTGAGTGTACAGGTTTTTCATTCTTTTCTTTTTTTTCTACAAGAGATGGATTGGTAGTGCTCTTTACATCAATATGACTTTATTAAATATGATAAATTAACAATGTAGTCTTAGCTGTTAGAGTTCTGTTAGCATAGCCATCATGTCTAATTGGGCCGCTGCTTGGTGACAGCTGCACTGTTCTATCCCATGTGGGCATCTGCTGGTATATTTAGTTCTGACCCAGTTGCTAAGGGACCAGGATATATAGGACATGGCAAAACGGTTCAACCCAACACTAGATACAGATGTTGAACATGTACTGTATCTGAGTAGGTCTCAATGATAGGCAGGAGGTCCCTGGTTTGACTCTCTTGCTGCAGCGTTATCGATGGGGGAACAACTTGGTGTTTTTATTGCACGACTCCCTGCTGCAAACATATGTGTAGGTTCAACCCTCTAACTAAAAAATGTTCCTATTGAAGTGTCTTTGTTTGCTTGAAGTTAACAATTTTTATAGTATCCTTACAGAGGAGCACTCAGGGCTCCAGAATCCAACCCCAATTCTGCCTGTTTATTTTGCATTTTCATAGTGTTACCTCAGTGTTTGTATTTCCATTTTATTAACGATAACATGAACGCTGTTTAAAATGTCTGGAATGTTTTTTTTGGGGTCACCCCACCTATCTAAACAGTAGACCTGTGGAGCCACTGACTCTGCAAATTCTTTTCAGAAGTATTGAGAACTGTTAAGTTTATGGTGACTGTGTTGCTGATTACATTTTGGTTGGTTTTATCTCACTGTCTCCCTTATGTCTTCCATCTCTCCATTCCCAAACGTTTTCACTTCTTTTCTTTTCTTGCATTCATCCCTCTTTCACTTTCAACTACAATTGTCCCACATACACCCACCCACACCAGACGGTGATGGTCTCCTTAGACGGTTTATCCAAGATTGTGGACCAATCCCAGCTGACAGCTGACTTTGAGGGCAGCTTAGAGTACAACCATGATGACTGGATTGAGGTTTGGATACTTTTTCTTTTTGTTCTATTCTTCAGATTTCTTAGTGACACAAGCTGACCCCAGTCTTTGACCTGCTTAATTAAGAAAACAGTCTTTAAGTAGAAATTCAGTAGTATTTATATTTTGGAAAATGCAGCTTACTTTTGACTTTCATTTTAGGTGCGGCTGTCGTTTGAGACCTTTGCCAGCGATGCCGCACGCACACTGGCACGCTTTGAGGAGCTCCAGGAAACGTTGTCCCAGCGTGATCTCCCGCGGGACCTGGAGGGGTCCCGACGGCTCATGGAAGAACATGCTGGGCTGAAGAAGAGGGCCACTAAGGCGTCGGTGGAGGAGCTTGATGCGCAGGGACGGAAGCTGCTGCAAAGGCTACAGTTACAAACTGCAGGAGGTGGAAGTAGCAGTGAAAGCGGGTACCGTAGTGGCGGAGCTAGTGGAGATTCCAACGACCATCATCACAGCTTCAATGCGCATGTGGACATACACAACCTAGTAGCTAAAGTGACAGGCTTGTTGGATAAGCTGCATGGGACACGACAGAATCTGCAGCAGCTGTGGCACATGAGGAAACTGAAGCTGGACCAATGTTTCCAGCTGCGTCTGTTTGAACAGGACGCAGAGAAGGTTAGCTTATCCTCCATGCTATTACCATGAATGTTGAAACCAGTTAGATTTTATTTGGTTCTTCACTGCCCCCTCATATTCTTGCCCGTTAGTGCGTCTCAGTATGTTGATACGTTATGTGTCAAGTCGCAGTCTATTTACATACACCACATACAAGTATTTCAGGCTCACAGGAGCAAATCTGATGTATGAGCATGCATGCATGTCAGTCTTAGCTGGGTATTTTAAACATTACATTAATCCAGACATTTAAGTCCTTTAATGTTAGCCCTGTGCATCCCAGATTAACAGGGATGTGGATGTATGTAGCATTGCAGATAAGGTTCATTAGAGAAACTACTTGCAAGTATTAAAAGAGGGTTAACACACAAATTATTAATAATATAAATCATGTGTTTTTCACTTCCTGGGGATTTATAGTTTTTAAAGGTTTTATTCAAAATAAGATACATTTTTATTTTATTTATTTGACTGAGCTTTGCCTTTGTGTGCATGAAAACAGAGAAAAAAAGGGTGTGTGTTTGTATGTGCGTGCATGGCTGTATGTGGTCAGATTTCGAGAGAGTGTGATGTTGCGTGTCTGGAACTGGGAAATGTAAAATATGAAACTGAGCAGAGCTGCAGGCAAATGCAGAGGCCTGCTATGGAAAGTGTCAGAGCTGTAATTAAATTAAATTAAACGCCTTTTCCACACACCAAACATGTAGTGGGAGAAACATTAAAATGACACTACACAAACACACATATGCACACAGCTAATTTATTTAGTCAGTGGAGGGATAAAATATTTTAGTTAATTACAAACACCAAGCAACTCTCTCATTCTCACTGCTGTTGCTGTGAGTACAGGAGATCGAAAGACCCTTTTCAGTTTTAATTCTATGTAAGGCTAACTGCATTTCCTCCCCATAGATGTTCGACTGGATCATGCACAACAAAGGCCTTTTTCTCACCAGTTACACGGAGATCGGAGGGAACCACCAGCATGCTGTCGAGCTGCAGACCCAGCACAACCACTTTGCCATGAACTGCATGGTAAGACTTTGTCTCGTCGTTCACACATGCAGATAAACAATATGATTCCTTCTCAAACTATCATCATTACTGTCATTCACAGTGACAAGCTAAGACCTCCCACCCCTGTACAATCACCAAACACACATACATGCTTCTCATCTTTTAACCCAAACCAGCCTCTCCCTCAGGCTGTCGATTGCTGTAGAACAATACTTTCTGTCCTGCCACTGTTGGCCTCAAATTATTCAGTTGTGTTCCACTGTGCCTCAACTCTGCCCCCTCTGTCATGTCTTGTCACAGTGTTGTTCCCATAATTGAACCATATTACCTCCATGCCCATCCCATAACTGTTTTCTTCCCATTGCTGCTCTGCTCCACAACCCTCTTTGCCCTCCTGTACTGTATTCTGCACAGCTTTGCTGCAGATTAATACATTTTGTTAAGGATATTTTACTGTAAACTGTACACTCTGCATTCTTCAATACCCTTCCTGCCTGTGTTTGTCTTCTACCCACCACAAATCACACCCTCACTGCCCCTAATTCCATTTCATTTTTACATCACAATTCATCAGTGACATGTATATGTACCAATGACAAAAAGCACATTTAGTCATAGAAATTGAAACACGCAAACATGTTAAAGGTGGGGTAGGTAAGTTTGAGAAACCGGCTCGAGATCGCTAGAATTTGAAAATACACAACCGGAGAAAATCTGCCACTTCCTTATAGAGCCCCTCCTCCAACACACACGAACGCGCACATGACCAATGAGGGCACGAGATAAGTTTGTGCACAGATGGAAGGCTGACAGGCAGGTAGGCCATCCAGTTATTTTAGCCGGGCCGGCTAAAATGATTGGTCGTGCTTTTTACAGTACTACGGCTTCCACAGATGACATTCTTTTATGGATTTTTTGTCAAAGCACTTAAGATATTCATTGCTATCGGGATGTTAAGAGCATTCCATGGAATATAACAAAAAGTGTATCTCGAGCCGGTTTCTCAAACTTACCTAGCCTACCTTTAAGCCCATTTCCTATAATTCAAAAACAAGGACCAACAGGAAAATCAAAATCAATCATGTAAATCATGTATATTTCACTCCTAATGTCAAACTGTAACTATTGTTAGTGAGACCATTGCATCCAAGGGGAAAGGGGCCCATGGCCTGACATCCCCCCCCACTCACAGTCCCGCTGGTGTCAGGAAGCATGGCCAACAAGCGGTGTGACACCAGGTCCCAGAGGTAGCTTCAGTGTCAACACACTGTAGTTTGAGATGAACAATACCCCATAGACAACAGTGGTAGAACAGACAGGTGGTACTGGAGTTTAAACTCACACATATATTAACAATACACTTGAAACACACACACATACACACACACACAATAGGGTGACCATTACTGCCTCCGCCCATTCTTCCACAGGAAGCAGCGTTTCCCCTTCCTGTTGCCTGCATGGCTGAATGGAAATAAGTAGTGTCAGGGTGTGTTTGTGTGTGTGTTTTTTTTTATAGAATACTGCCTGTGTCCTCTTGTTTCTGAGTATTTTACAGTATATGTAAAAAAGTATGGAAAGAAAAAGCAAGGTGAAACAACACAAGTACCTTTACACACATTTCATGTACCACTTACTGCTGATGTGTAAATATTGGCATAACCGTACTGTTTTTGCAATGTTGTATTAGTGATCATTTTGGCTTGGAAATTCATATGAGCTTCATCAAGTTTAGGTTTATGACATAAACCAAATGCTAGTGGTGACTTCTAGCAAGTATCATGCACAATACACTAGATGGAGTTATGTTACTGCAATGCCCCCTTTAGGAGACACTTGACAAATGCAGTTTGGTAATGAAGGGGTTTCTCAACCATGATATAAGTTAAAGTTACATGAGTTTTTTAACATTTCATATGGTGCAGAAGCTCTGTGTCACAATTTTGCAGGTAAACCAATCCTATTTTGTGTGTGTCTATATATAGTATTAAAAAAACAAGACAATATGGTAGATATATTGCACCTGTCTCAGTATAGCACAACATAACTGACAATGTACAAACATTAATGATAACAAATGATAACATGGTTAAGGATATATGAAGTGTTTTTCCAGTTACATTATAGATTTGTTTCCAGATTGGCTTTAACGCCTGGTCATGTTCCCTAAAGTAGAGTTACTGCTGCAGGAGATCGGCAATCGTCAGAATCCATTTTCAATGGTCTTGTTAAAAGAATTGATTGAATCCCTTTGCTCCTGTGAAGGCAAATATGGTTGTTGGTTAAGATAAAGCCAATTAATATGCTGAACTTTGTTATATATTTTTTTACAAGGATACCAACACACAACTCTTTTTCTTACCTTTAACAATTTGTTATTGTCCATGGACAGATCACACTGGGAAACATTGAGCTGGAGCTGCTTCTCAGATTCACTGTAGAGATGTGCAACAGTTTAGTTTTACACAACTTATTAAATGTTTGATCAATGATTTGTTTTTATTGTTTTTTTAGTAAGCAATCGTTCCAAATTACTAGCTGTTAGTTACCATGACTCATATGTTCATAAACAACTCACCTATTTCCCTTTTCAAGTCCTGGATTTCCTCAATGTTATTCTCTAGCCTCTCACCTATTTCCCTTTTCAAGTCCTGGATTTCCTCAATGTTATTCTCTAGCCTCTCACCTATTTCCCTTTTCAAGTCCTGGATTTCCCCAATGTTATTCTGTAGGATATCTGTTATAAAAAGAGATAAAAAAGCTGCTTCATATCGCCAAGTAGAATACACATATATCATATAATTACATACATAATTCATGCATACATTGTTTAATCTTTTATCACCCACTGCACAGTTTGCTGGACATTAGCACTAAACAGAACTGCTAGTACACTGAAGTGTTACATATGAACCTGTAATATATGTACCAATAAACTGTATTATAAGACACGTGATCAAACGTTTGTAATTGTTTTAACCTGTTAAGCCCTGAGCCTGTTTTTCAGGTCTCAGGCTCGAAAATGACATTCCCAGAACAAATGATCATATCTTCCCTTCTAAAAGGGTTAAATTAATTGTCTTTTTGCTCAAAGCAAGGTTACATCTGTGAATTGGATGAAGAAGTGTCAGAATCAAACTACAACATATAATAAGTACCCTGTATCAAGATTGATGCAAAACAAGTGAAATGTTACCTTTTTTAGAGAGATTTAGCAAAAATAACCCACGTCTGGGCTCATTCTGGTGGTAGCCACCAGAGTGACGCGTAGCCAAAACCGGAAGCTACGATAACTCTGGTGGCTACCATTAGCAGCTAACTTTTATTCTCCGATTTTACATAAAAATGGAATTATGGATTATAAATATTTGTTTCAAAGTGACAGACACATTGGTATAACCTATGGATTAACCCTCAGCAGCGTTTTTATCGTTTTAATGCCATTGAACACGACTTTTGATCAGAATAACAGCTAACGTTTGCTTCCCCTGTCGCGAGTTCTAATCGCTCAGTGATGATACTATACCTAAATAATCTGTGGAGTCTCAGCTTTAATCGGATATCTTGTATGTGCAGTTACGATAAGTAATAAGGGTATCTTTATCTTGAGTTCTGTGCCAAATGCGTTAGCATTTTTTCGCTCGGGTCATTTAGATGCTTCTTATGAGACTTGTGTTTTGTTTTGGTCAAAATGGTTCGTATAACACATTAATAGGTTTTTAAATATTAAGATGCCCTGAGACGCAGTTTCGTGAAATAACACCCTGCAGCCCCCAACTGAGGGGGCTCTCTGGCTTAACAGGTTTTAAAGTAGTCCAGTTTGTGCAAATACTTTAGGTACAATCCCTACGATGAAAATATCTCCCTATTTTCAATGCAGTCAAGCATTCAATGAAAATATTTATGTCCACATTTCAAAGGGATTAATGATCTAAATATTTGAACAATTTGGTGAATATACCCCAAAAGCCAAAAAGATTACTGTGGACTAAATCATTACATTAATACAGTTTAAAATGTACAATAATACAGTCATCAAATGTCTTGTTCCTCTGGGGATACATTCACTTAATCTTAAAAGACTGTTATATATAACAGAGGAAAAAGTTCAGATTTACAGTTGTTGTTCATATAGTAAAACATCCCTCCAGTAACATAATACTCAGCAACACAAGACCCACTGTAGTAATCCTGAGGAAAACTAGAAAATAAAATGTTATTATAATTGACCAGTATGATAGTGTTCCTGTTTATGTAATTCTGTATTTATATTAATTTAATTTCAGTATACCTTACCTAATTGAGATACCCTTAATCCTCTGTTACCATTCATTGGAGGGCGTCTGATAGTGATGTATCTGTCGGTAAGAGGAATGGACGGTAGAGCAGTGGTCGGGCTTCTGGTGTTTTGATGCGGTTTGTCAATTACAGGTTTCTCTTTTTTCAACTCTTCTTTCTTCTGTCCTCTTGAGTCATGCTGGTTTGAATCCTCTTTTCCGTTAAAACCAACAACAGGTGTTTCTCCATTTTCATAAATGTCTAGTTGCATCCATTATGTCATGTATTCATCGAAAGCGGTGTCTGCTGTTTCAGGCTCCTCATTTGTTAATTGCATCTCCATGTAATGTTGTGTTATGTATGCACAGAGTACCTGACAGAACAGATAGCTGTTGATACTACTAACACATTTTGAGACCAATTTGAATGAGATTCATTGGAAAGTATGACACAGAACTTTCACCTGCCTAAGGAAAAAACTCTTCCTCTTTCCACCCTTAGCTTGCGACCATGATTTACATTTTTAATAGACCGGATCACCAGGGGAGAAAGGGAAAATGCATGATTCAACTTTTTGGCAATTATATTTGGGTAAATAGGAGGCTTGTTTATAATCTGAAATAGTTGGATAAATACAAATATGAATAGATCATTAAAAAACTAAAATCAACATATTTGCAAAATATAGATTATTTTAATTCTTATAATTATATATAATTCCTAATTATCCACTGTGTCAGTAGTGAACCTTTTCAGATCTGTTTGTTAATCTGCCATTTGTTTTTATGCTATTTGGCCGTCAAAGAAAAGGGACTGAATTTCGAACAGTTACTGTTAATTGCGTGGGTACTCAGTCTGAAGAGAAACAATAACATCATAACACACAAGTGACGCTAAAGGAAACCAATGTTGCCTTAATACTGTACAGTAAGCTTACCAACAGATCCTAATTTATATTGTGTTTCTGAACATGTACTGTTTACTACATAACATTTACTGTTTACTACATAACATTAACTCAGTGCTGTTCTCTACAAGGAGCAGGGAATCAACATGTTGACTTGTGCTGTGTATCCATCTCGCTAAGCCACAATTCATTGAGGGATTTTTAGTACTATCATATCCATATGATGCTGGACATTGGAAACAAAATAAATACAGTGCATTAGGTAGCAAGTTACAGAGTAATCTGGTTACAGCCTGGGTTGGCAAGACAGGAAGGATGTTACTGCTGCTGTGGACAGTTGTTCATCTTGTTCTGAAGTTCCTTCACAAAGCAAGTTCCACTGTGGTGTTATTTGTTTTCCTACTCTGTAGATGATCTGATCTCTGGGTCAAAGGTGTTGCCCTGCTTTTCCTCCTCTCTTTTTCTCGTTCTCCCTCTCACTTGCTGCATACCCTCATCAGGTTTGAGTTAGGAATACCTTCTGCCTATCTCTGCCCTCCCCCTTTCTGTCCATCAGTTTGGAATTAAGGCTTTTACCACCCAGTGTGTTCGAGTAGTCCAGCCTCTGTTATTTCATCTAATTCATAATGTCCTACAGATGGCTTGAAGGCCTTCAGGCTTTATTGGTTGTGACTCGGAACTCTTTTCCCTATCTGCTCCAATCCCCTACTCATGTGTATGTGTGTATGTATGTGTGCTTATGTATGGGTGTGTGTTCTCTTTAAAATATTTGTCTCCTTTTTTTTACCTGGGCTTGTCAAAAAACACAAATGTCCCATGGTACAATACCACATACTATATACTGTATGATCTATAGTAGCTTAGAGATAATCTTCCTCTTATATTTGTTGCTTTATAACATTTACAATAGGATTTCGGAAGTTCTCTAGCCGTTAGACTCCCTTCATTTATCACATGAGCCTTACTTTATCACATGAGCCTTACTTTATCACATGAGCCTTACTTTATCACATGAGCCTTACTTTATCACATGAGCCTTACTTTATCACATGAGCCTTACTTCTAAGCACTCCAATCTAGTGCTTTTCGTTCCCAGTGCCAAGACTTTCTGGGATTTTGGACAACAGGGAATGGCTTTGCTTGGTTTGCTTAAGAAACTCCTACAAGTAAAATAAAAAGCTAATTAAAACCATTTCCAAGTCCTACTTTAATAAAAAGACACCAATCATTTCAAAAACATTATAGATGAACAAAACAAATTACAAATCCAGTGTCTCCTACTTTGAGGAAAACTCTTAATTGGCTTTTGCTGGTGTTTGGTTCATCTTTCCTCCCCGTCGTGATTGAAATAAACAAACTAAGAGCCATTATAGGCTCCAGGAGCAGTAATTGAATAGAATAATAACTGGCTGTTAACACAGTTGTTAATTAGCCTCCGCTGATCCGTTCCTATCTACACAAAACAGCTTGGAGCCCATATATTAAAAAAGACTTAAAGATAAGAGGCCATTGGGCTTATTTCATTATTCACATGGTGCGTGCGTGCGTGCGTGCGTGCGTGCGTGCGTGCGTGCGTGCGTGCCTGCGTGCATGGTGAGGGATGGGGGGGGGTAGCTGATGACAAGGGTGCCTATATTGACTTTTATTCGATCTTATATTACTTACACTAATGTAATTTTGGCTACCATGTTTCACAAACAAACTTTGCTCACTTGCTGGAAGTAAAGACAATCTTGAATGTTTGAAGACATGGTTTCATCTTCATGCATCATTACACCCAAAATGAAACTGCAACATTATTTTACCTGGCCACCTTATAATTTACCTGGGTGCCCAACATCAACATTAAACGAAAAAAACAATGTTTGTATGTGTCAGTTATGCTTCAGGTCAGATATCTAAAGATTTAAAGCAATGGAGTTTGTACAAATGTTGCAAGTGTACATTAGTATTTATTTACAGTTTTTTCCTGTCTATGTTAAAGATAATCAAACAAAGCACCTCCAGTACTTTATGAATTAAAACCAATTGATTGTTGTGTCTATTTTGCTTCTCTGCCTTGAACACAGAATGTTTATGTGAACATCAATCGGATCATGTCGGTCGGGAACCGGCTCCTGGAGACCGGCCACTACGCCTCCCAGCAGATCCAGCAGATCTCAAGTCAGCTGGAGCAGGAGTGGAAGGCCTTTGCTGCAGCACTGGACGAACGCAGCACCCTGCTGGAGATGTCTGCCAGCTTCCACCAGAAAGCAGACCAGGTACATGCAGAACGACTAACGGACAAACAGGATATTAAGTACAGTTCTGAGGATGTCTCCCCCTGGAAAGCTGACAATTACAGCCACAAGCATACACGCATGTGGTAGAATTAATGGGTATTCTTTCTTTTAATGATAGGCACAAATAAGAGGGGGAATGGAGCATATTAGATATATTACAGAACTTTAAAGGCTGAAATGAATATCTGGAATGTGTGCTTTACTGAATAGTTAAGGATTTAAACCTAATAATAGTTTTATATATTTTGAAGATGAGTACATTCAAAGAGAAAGAGAAGTAGAATAAAAAACACTACAATTTACAAGCTCTAATAGACCTAAAAGACCATTTAAATGATCAATACTGCTTTCCATGGTTTTGCTTACGTTTGCAGTTACATTGCATTAGTTGGTTGTTGACATCTATAGTTTGCTGAGTGGCCTCTTTTCTGTACAATCTTAATGCTCAAGACTTCCTAGTCAGCTTTTGATGTATTGCTGTCAGGTTTAGTGGGGGAGCAGCGTCACAGACATGATATTTTTATTGTATGCTTCATGTTACAATTTTGGCAAAATAGTCTCTACCTCATATTACATATAAAATAAAGTACATATTTTATACTTATTAAAGATCTCTATAACAAGGTCATTTTAAACAGACCCAAACTCCTTTCCATTCTTCCCTTCATAAAACAGAATAAATGGTAAATCAAATTTTTATCATATCGTTCTACCCAGCTCTCCCCTCTTCTCTCCCTTTTTGGTTGTTGAACTTTTCCTCTCAGTGAGAGGAAAAGTCTCTGTCCTTGTCAGCCTTTCTGTTTCCAACAATAACAGTTGGGATGCCAAACCTTTATGTAAAGCTCGTTAAGCCGCCAGCCGAGGAAGAGATATCCTAATGCAGAGTCATTGTTTTTCTTTGTTTTTGTTGGCTAACTGTGAGAGTATTCAACGGGCAAAACATTGTCTGAAGTCTACATACATGCTTATACCATGGATTGTCTTAGTAGTAATATGGGCAGTCTAAGTATGCAGATTGTGAAAAATACAGGTTTACATACTGCATGAATAGATATATCAATTGTGGTGTCAATTGCCACTGCAAAATCAACTGTTTCAGTTATTTTCATTATCTTGGTTTCACAGAGACAATCTGATAACTGGTCACCGCAAAATCAAAATATACAGGTTTAATGATCATTTTAAAGTGCCTACCTGTAGTGTGGCAATGTAATTATAATTTAAACAATATAGAACAAGTTAATCTGGCTTTACAAAGGATCTTAACCCCGTCATGCATGCACAAAATATATCGCATTTTACAGTACATACCAAATAGAATGCATAGTATACAATACTTAGACACTGTACACTATATATTGTGTTTACTGTATATTTATCTGTAGGTCTGTGTAATACAATGTTCGTATTGTGCCTGTTCTCTCCTCAGTACATGAGTAAAGTGGAGCCATGGTGTAAGGCATGTGGTGAGGGAGAGCTGCCCTCTGAACTCCAAGATCTGGAAGACACAATCCACCATCACCAGGGACTGTACGAGCACATCACAACAGCATACTCTGAGGTCAGTTCACACATGCACGCTGATGTAATCATGCAAAACAAAAAGGTACATGGACACGAAATGGGACTGATAATGATCCAAATCATGAATTCAAAATATTATCAACAGCCTTAACACAGTGCACAGTGTGTCTACGTTTAATTAATTTACACATAAAATCTTACACATGATCAAAATGTTCTAGGTAAATTATATGTACTAGAGATATTGAATATGATATACAATATATAAAGCAGAAGGTTATAGTCCTTTTTAAAAAAAAATGAACTTAACCCAAATGTGAAAATTCCCAATTAGAAAAATGTATTTAACTTTGTAAGAATATTGTAAAAAATATTAGATGCCTGTGCTATCGAGTCTGAGGTAATGGAAAATCTTACTATAACAATAATGCAGATTTTTCTTGCATAATTCATCTTATTATCTGTTTGCTAAGGAATTTGGGAGGTTTTCATGTTTCCCACGTGAGATAATGTAAGGATTTTTGCAATATGTGAAACTACATGATACCTTTAACAGGTAAGCCAGGATGGGAAGTCTCTTTTGGACAAACTACAGCGACCTTTGACACCAGGAAGTGCTGATTCGTTGATGGC